GTTAAAATAAAAAAACCCAAGTATATAAATACATACATATATATGCATACATACATAATTTACTTTCAAATAAATCTAATCACTATCTATCCTACATGCATAGGGCGAGAGGTTTTAATTACAATTCAGATAAAGAAAATAGCAAGAGAATTCATTCATGGCAGGATAGATGGGTCAAATTCAAAACAGGTACCACCGAATTCCCATTATACTCACAATATACAACAGCAGTTTCTGAATAAAACTCAAAGAAAACACAAAGTTAAGAAAAGCTAACTTCCTTTAAAATTTTTTTAAAAAGCATAGCTGTAAGGCAAAAATGCACGTACATCCATAGATTATCTGTTCCGCTTTTAAAATAAACATGAAGTTAAAATCTACTATTTAAATCCCCAAAATACAGAATTCACAAATAATTTACAGTAATTCATGGGAAACATATATACCTTTGTTAGTGGTGGATCTCATTAGTTCTGGATACCTAGTTCAGGGTATCACAACAAAGCATTAAGAATGTAAGCAAATTTTACAATTTGAAGTTGGGGGCAGGGGAGGAATCTTCGTAAGATTTTTATTAGAATCACACCTGACACACAGCTAGCACTCAATAAATGTGACTAATAGTTATTATTATTATTATATTTTCCATTTCAACAAATACTATGTTATATCCCCAACATATGTACTAGTGCCAATCTGCTTAAAAATTGTCCTTCATAATGGGATCAAATAATTTTCCCACTTACACTAAATTGAAATTGTACTATATTTTCAAAATACCTCATCAAATATAGCCACATTAGAGTACTAAAAAAAAAAAAAAAGAAAAAGGAATTAAAGATATAAATCACTGCCCACTATAATCTCACAAGATCTTGAATATTATTAACAGAGCTCCAAAAAGTATTTGACTTCAATCCTCTCTAATGTTAATAAATGTATAAAACGTATAAAAAAATTAAATGCCTTTTCATCTAACTTTAAAAATTCTTGCAATATTCACCATAAACGTCAAAATGCACACAAAATTAACAACATGTAAGTTCATATCAAGCTCTATCTATACACCTATGAAATTCCCATTTTAAATATTCTGTCCACATAAAATAGCTGGAACTGAGACAGTGTTTCTTAAATTTATTTTTTACTTTACCTAAACCCTCCCTGAAAAACTTGTCAATCACTTTTTAAAGACGAACAATTCTTATTTACTGATTAAACTAATGTTAAATAATTTGGTCTAAACCTCGTCTTTAAATCAACTAAATCTCTTTGGCATGAAGGCCAATGTTTTGTTGTAGGCTATCCATTCATAATTTGAAGTATTTTGGTAGCTAGAACATGAAAGAAAGTAACAAATCTGTCTGTTACAATACCCCCATTCTACCTCATTAATAAATAGTAAAACTGCCTCTAAATTTAAAGTTCCACAAACTGAATTCAGTTATTTACTCTGAATGAGCACCGAACAAGTATATGACAGTCACCCAGAAGAAGATTCTGAGTCTAGTAAAATAAACAGTAAGATGCTTGTTCAATTTGTTTAAGCAAAGATACTGTTAAATTAATGATAAAAGGTATGTGACTAACCTCTAAAATTTAGAATTCATGACAGCAGATACTCTTTATTGTATACAAGCATTTTCTAGGCAATCAAGTTTTCCCAATGGTAGCTAGAAGCTTTATTCTTTGTAAATCCGCTGCTTAGCCTCATCCTCTCATATAGTCTATGTTCAATAACTACTCAAATTGTACAATCTAATCCTTATACCAACCTTAAGCTATGCATCATTTTCTTAATGCAAAAGAAACTAAGGCTGAAGAGATGGATCCAGGCCAACTGACACATGATGGCCAGGCTTAATACCTTGCCCTAAGTCTCAATGCTAGTGGCAGTGTCAGAATCTGATTTCAAAATTATTGTCTTCCAAGTATCCATATCATCAAAATAGCAAACATATAATAATTACTCAATAGTTTCTCAATTCTTCTCAAATTATTTTCCTTTATTACTGCTTTTCAAGAACAGAAATCCTTAGGAGCTTCAATAGATCCCTTCATTATTTCTACAGTAGACATCTGATCCAGCATCTATTCCTTCCTTCCCAAGAATCCCAGATTTCTGACTTGAGAATTCTATTTGGAGATCTTTGTTGTTTCAATAAAGTCATTGTAGAATATGAATCCAATCAGGGCACTGCTTTAAGGCAGCTAAAGGATCTGAGTGAAGTGCAGAACTTCTGTAAAAGTTGGGACACCAATATAAAATAAAGCAATATGCAGCCCTAGGAGCTGGAAGCAGCCATCTATGGATGAGAGAAATCTAGGCAACATCATTAAGCCACTGGAAAAAGTCTTACTTAAAACAAAAAAAAATCCAAACTCATAGATTTTTACAGGGGTTACATCTTGTTTCAATGTTTTTCCAATACTGTTCCCTACTCATGGAATACCCTTTCCCCCCTTGTTAATATCTCCCATCTACTGGGCAGCCATTCTGTACCAGGCATCAAATGAGATGTTAAACACATGTTATCTCTAATACTGAAAACTAATCTACATCCAAAATTTACAAGGTAAACTTTATTCTCAGTATTCATGGATGAGAAAATTCAAACTCAAGGAGACTAAGTGACACTGCCAATGCCATACAGCTAATACGCAAAGCCAGGATTTAAGACCAGGTTTATCCAACTCACGGGTCTTATTCTTTCAACAACATGAAGCAGTCAGTCACATGGATCTTGTCTTTAAAGGTCTTTGCTCAGGCATCACATCTTTTGTGAAGCTTCTTCTATCCATTTACATATTTCAGGGATAGCTCATTTAGAGAAAGGAAATATTACAACGTACCATCACTGTTTATTTAAAATGCAGGCTCCTTAAATTTAAGAGGATCCAAGGAATACCAGTGCCTCCCACAATGTATGACATAGGCCAGTCAAGCAATAAACATTTGTAAAATTATCCCTGAATGGAGATAGAAGTCCTATCTCTCACAGATTAAAGTCTTTAAAATAAACAACTGTCATTACACTGAGATATTGTCTTATATACAATGCTTCAGAAATGTGGGTTTTAGGAAATGTGTAAATATTTCTTGATCTCATACTTTTGCTGCAGAAAATGTTGCCCTGATAGACTTGTGAAGAACCACAGAGAAATGCCAGAAATTCAAAACAGTAACTACATACATTTTTTTCAAACCAAGTATTTCATATGTACCAAAGGATCTTGTGTCTAGTAAACACAGGACATATTTACTATGCACATAATAAAAATCAAATATAAATTAAAACACTGGACTGTTGGCTTCATTCTAGAACCAAAGTTGCCTAACCCATGTCAGTTTATCTGTAAATGAAAAGTATGAACCAGACTATCTCCTAGATTCCACCCAGCTCTATGATTCTGTTGGAATTCAATAATATCACTGTCAACTTCTCAGAGTGCTTCCCTAACTATAATCTAAAAGTAACCTCTCAAACAAGGGCTCTGCTATCACACTATTTTAATGCATACTTATCCCAGACATTTTTCTCATTTAATGACTTACATATTATCATCTCCCCTAGCAGAATGTAGCTCCAAAAGAACAGGGATTTTACTGTATTCATCAGCACATCTCAAGGCTTCACACAGAACACAGTAGACACCGGGTACATGTTTGTTGAAGAAAAAAACATTCATGGAAGACTAATAATGCCTTGTCCCAACATGAAGGGAAAAAACCAAATGGAGCACTGCTGGGCATGTCCTGCATTTTCCAAATAACGAATTTTCTAATATATTATGTACTCCGTCTCAGTATTAATCTTACAAAGGTTTTTTTTGGGGGGGGGGATTAATTTCTATGAAGAAATGCTACAAATGAAAGAACCTAAGTAGATGTTTTGGTGTAATAAAGGTTTTAAGAATATTTAGTGACTACTTTAAATACAAGATCATTACTACATAAAAGCAATTCATCAGTTCCAAAAATCATCCACAAACTTTCCAACGAAAATTTCACAGTAACAAAGTAACAAAAATATTATAAAAATAAAGCTTAATGAAGCAAAGAACACAAACCATCCCAATTATTCAAGACGGTAGTCTCCATTTTTCTGAAGCAATGCTGTCTTCCCATCTCTCCCAATTTCTGTATACAGCCTTGTATTGGTACTGATAGAAGTCTTACAGACACTACCACATGTACGATGACACAGCTTCTAGTCAATATCTTATTTCCATTAAAACTTTCCCCAAACTCAAGACTCTGTTTGGACCATAAAGCTAAAACCCCACAATCTCACATCTGCTTCTCTGCCTCCCTCTCTCGCAATTAAGCCTCTCGAACTTTTCCCTTGGGATTCCAATCTCTGCCATCAAGACATTTTAATCCCGCTTCTACTCCTAAGTGCCTGCTTTCTCCCAGTGACTTAGGTGCTTTCGATCCGAGTAAAAAAAAAAAAAAAAAAAAAAAAAACAGGCTACGTACGCATCCTTGCCCTTTCCCACCCTAGCTTCTCCCCCACCCTCTCTACGGGCGCCTTGCAGGTGCCTCACTGGAAACCTCAGCGCCACCCTGGGCCGCCCAGAGAGGCACACAAAAGACCCGCACGGCCCTCCCAGCCTACTCCGGTGTCTCCCCTACAGTCCCATCGGGTCAGTGCCCTGAAGAACAAGCGGAGGCCCGAGGGAAACGGCGCCGGCTCCGCCGGGAACAGCGATGCTCGCCCCGGGCGCCCCTTCCAGAATCCACCTTCGCCCACGTCCCACCCACGAAGGCTGCCCTGGGCCGGGACCCTCGCCCAGAGAAACCGAAAGCGCATCCCCAGCTCGGGAGCAGGGGCAGAGCGCATCCCACCCGCCGGCCTCCGCAGCCCCTCCCCGCGAGCCCGCGCCCCAACCGCCGCGCCTGCCCGAGCGGGCGCCCCCGCTGGCCTCCCGCGCCGCCTGCACCCCCGCCTCCCAACACGGGGGAAGGGCCCACGCCCGCCCGGCCGCCCGGCACTCACAGGCTGCCGGAGCAGGAGGTACAGACGAAGGAGCCGACCGTCATGTTCACGTAGGTGGGGCCGCGCTGGTCGCAGTCGAAGCACTTTCGGTTGTGCGGGAGACCGGTCATGTCCCGCAGCATCTTCAGGTGCTTCTCCTCCTGCTTCCGCTTCGCGCTGGCCGCCATGGCCGCGGCGCCGAGGGAAGAGGCCGGCAGGGCCAGGAGCGGGAGCCGGGCGGCGCTGCGCCGGGGGCCCCGCGGTCCCACGGGCCGCCCTGGCCGCGGCCGCCGCCCTCCGTCAGCGCGCGCGGCCCGCGCTGGACCTGGCCGCCTCGGCTCGACTCGACTTCGCTGGGCGCGGCGCGGACGCTGCGGAGCGCGGGCTGACGGGCCACACCAACCGGCCGGGCCGGGACAACCGCCGCCGCCACCGCCTCCGCCTCCACCGCCGCCACCACCACCGCCACCTTCCCGACTTCTCCTGAGGGGAAAAGAGGAGGAAGGGGGACGGCAAGAGAAGGCCCGCCCTGGGCGGCCGGAAGCCAAGTGTCGGCCGGCGCCCTCTGCTGGTCAGGAGGAGTTAGTTACTGCGGCCGCGCTGAGGCCCGGATTTGGGCGGGGGCAAAGCAGCAAAGATACAAAGGTGGTGGTGAAGATAGATAGTATTTATTAGAGAGCTTATATGTGCTAAGCGCATTACCGAACTTAACTTCGTCCCCTGCTCAAAAGTCTCCAAGGGCTGCCCACTTCTTTGGAGATAATGTCAGGGTTCCTCACCGTACTCTAAAAGGTGCTCCCTCGTCTAACCCAACCTACGTAGCTCTGTCCCCATCCCGGTTTCTCACCACGCTGGCTTTCCGTTTGTCCCCCACACATAAGAAGCTCCCTTCTGACCCAGGACCCTTGCCATGCTGTTCTCTCTCTGTTAAGGTTTCTCAACCCTGACACTATTCACATGTTGGACTTGATAATTGTTTGGTGTGGGGGATATTGCTTTGAGAGGTGTTTCATGGTATCCCTAGCCATTATCCACTAGATGACAGAATGACCCCTCCCCACACCCTACATGTGGCAACGAAAAATCCCCACACATTGCCAAGGGTAGACTGAGATGTAGTCAATTCATTTATGCACGTCTGGCGGGCAACCTTCCTTAACCCAATCAACTTATTTAAAATTGCGACCCATCTTCCTGAAAGTAGCCCTCCCTGAAATAGCTGTGTTGGATTTCCTTCCTAGTGCTAGCTATTTGAAATCCTGCTTCTTATTTTGTGTTTACTTAGTGTTGTCTGGGATTCTCCCGTTAGGCTCCAGATTTTCCTTACTACTCCTCCACCCTCTGCCCCTCCCAGAGTTGGAAGCTCATGCTCAGTGTTCACAGAATGAATGCATTCAGTATCTCATTTAATCCTCACAAGATCCCTTTGGGGTAGGCATTACTGTTCTTTCCATCTCACAAATCTGGAAGCTAAAGCTCTGGGGGATTAAGGAAATTTACTGGAGGATACATATGGGAAAACTGGGATTCTAACCCAGACAGTCAGACGGCAAGACCCAAATCTCTTCGTCGCTCTAAGCAAACACAGCCAGCAGGATGATAGAAATCATCCCTGCCGCTCCTTTCCCAGAGGAGTGCAGGAAGACCCAGAGAGCTGAAGTTCTGAAATCACTCAGCTGGTGAATGGGAAAGTAAGATTAGAACGCACATTTCCTAATTGCCAAGGCCAGCCCTCAGACATCCCTTGAAAGTAACTGGACGAAATGCCCAAGTGAGACTTCATGTTAATATAATGCTATTAATAATAGCTAAATATTACAAGAAAGTGATCAATAGATTTTGGATTGGTCAATGGATTTTTAACTTTCTATTAGGGAAATAGAGATGAGACTGTGTCCCATCGTCAATAATTATCAGCTCATGCCTAATGTGCTTTCTACCCATCCCAAACTCCCATCACCCCTCTTATCATTTTGAAGCAAATTGCAGATAGCATACCAGTCATCCGCACATACATTAGTTTGCATTGCTAAAATACATACATTCATAAATAAATAAATAAATAAATATTTTTTAGAACTGAAACAGGATACTGTTAGCACACCTAAAAACCTAACAAAAATTCCTTAAGAATCATGAAATATCTCAGCAAGAAATGAAATTTCCCATTGATGTTTAAAAAAGATGCTTATAGTTTATTCTAATCCATACATGTAGTTGGGTAATATGTGGGTACTAAAGTCTTTGTGTTTCCATTCTATCTCTTTTTCCCTTGTAATTCCTTTTTTTGTTTGTTTGCTTTTTTTTTTTTTTTTTTTTTTTAAGGAACTGGCCATTTGCCCTGTAGTTTTCCACAGCCTATGTTATTTAACACCCCTACCTTTCCTAAAAATTTGTGGGCGGGTCCAGTTCCCTTGTTTCTGGTTCAGTTCTTTTGTTGTTCTTGGCAAAATTTTATTTCTTTGTCTCCTTCCATCAGGCAACACCTAATGGAGGGAGGGGAGGGTCCTTTCTATCTTTTTATATTAGCAGCCATTGATGATTAATATCTAGATCGCTTAATTTATGAAGGGTCACAGAGTGGTGATGCTCTAACTCTATCATTCCTTCTCTGTTTCTTAGCTGAAATATTCCCCCTCGGCCACTCTCGGGCACAGCTTTTGTCAGAAAGACAGGATAAATGTTTGATTTCTTTATTCACAAATTTTCAAAATAATGTATTGGTTTCCTGTCACCTTGCAATGGTGATCAACTTGTTTGTCAATGTCATGACTAACTCAAGAGATTAAACCTAGTTGATATGTTTCATATCCTTGGTGCTTACACTGTCTCATCACTGGCTGGTGGGAGGCTCTTAAAGCTGGTTCCTGAGCCTTTTTGACAAGACCCTTGACTTAAGGTCATCTGGAGCACCCTTACGGCAGGGCTCTGGGCTGCTTAGAAGACGACAGCACTGGAATGTCCAAACCTGGCCTGATCAAAACAGAGGCTCACTTACCAGTCCCCCTCTGGCTAAATATAATACACTCAGCAGACTTATTCATCACCAACAAATGCATTTAACCCACAGCCAATGCCTTGCTTCCCTGTTTGTGATGATCCTTTGGCATTTGTATGTTTTCTGGTTGCTCATCTTTCCATGGTTTGTCATCTGATAAATGCCAAAATCAGAAGGCATGGCCGCAGCACCTTGTACAAACAGTTTACTGTGGGGTTGTTTTATTATCGTGTTGTTTAATGAAGCCTCAGACAGTATTTCCAGACTACCCATCTGGATAGCTGAAGTTCAGGTGAAGTCCAAGGTATTTTCTACACTTAAAACGGGAAGTCCATATGACGGGCTGAATTTTGGCTTTTTTGTATTCTGTATAATATCAAAGCAGATTGCTATTTTTAAAAACCCCAGGGGAAGTTCACAGTGTATCAGGCCAGACTATTTGTTTACTGAAATTTGCTTATCCCTCACACCAACGCGCGAGGAGGTATTATTATCCCCACTTTATATAGGAGGAAATTGAGAGTCTGAAATGCTGGCTTGCCCAAGGCCATGCTGGAAAGGAAGCAAGAAGCAGGGATTCAAATCCACATTAGGCTGGGCCGCCCCAGCTTCTGCTTCCAGTAACTGAATCTTGGCCCTGCTTATGAAGCACAAATCACCTTCAGAGATGTTAGCACTGCAGCAAGACTGATCTTTCAAAATGTTAATGTGATTCAGGCATCCCTAGTCTCCTCCCCCTGCTTAAAGCCTTTCAGTGACTTCTCATTGCTCTGAGGCTGAAAGAAAATCTGGGAGGCCCAGAAACCCCTTGAAAGTGGCCTCCTTCCTGCAGACCATGCTAGGCCTCCCCACCCTCCCCCAGCTCCCATCTCTACCACCCTGCTCCAGCCCTACTTCCTTCTTTCATTTTTATATTCTCTTTTGCCCCACCTCAGGGCCTTTGCACATGCATTGTTGGTTCCAGAAAGAGACTTCCCTCTCTTTCCCTTCTCATCCCTTAAATCCAGCTCAATATCTGGTTTCAGAGATCCTTCTCTGTCCCTCCTAATTAAGCCAAACCCCATAATAGGTGCTCAAAGTAGCATGTACCTCTCATTTAGGGCACTTGTGCTGTGGCTATTTACAGTGCTTTGTGATTTTTCATTTAGGGTCCCTAATCCCCGCCCCCCACACACGCACACTATACAGTGGACTTGACTCATGAGGGGCCTCAGTATACATTTGCTCCCATTACTCCTCCAGCACTTAGCATGGAGCCTGGCTCTTAGAAGGGTCTTAGTAAATATTGGTTGAATGAATAAATGAACACAGCAGTGAGAATAAAGCTTCCTTCAATTGTATGCAGTGGGTTATGGGTTCTGTTTATTGTTGTTCTGCTCTTTTGGCTCCTGGAATAACTACAGCTCTGTCCAAACTACTAGAGTTTTGTTAAAGAACTTGTAAATTCTGAAATCAAACCTCTGATGGTAGGAATCTAAAACCTGACTTGCTTAGAGGCTCCTGCCTGTCTTATCACCAAGAGTGACTCAGAGAAAATGTCCTGAACAAACCCTGGTGTTTGGAGAGGCCCCAAGGAGCCAGCGACGGAGCTGCCAACTCATCCTAGGCTACCCCACCCTCTGCGCCTGGAGGCCAGGCCCAGAAAGGAGGGCCCTCTGCTCAGACAGCAGAGCTGAACAAGCATTCACAAGAATCAGAGGATAGCTAGGAGTGACTTTGTTACCCAGAACATCAGAGTGAGGAGGGGAGGGCTCCCCATTCAAGCAGGACTCAAATTTAGACTTAACAATAATCTCTAATTGAGTTACCCACGGGGTCAAGAAGATCCACCAACAGAACAGAAAGAAGATATTGCCAGACACACACGCATGTCCATCCTTGCCACCTGCCGCATATCCTGAATTCATACTTCTAATAAGTCCTGGATTTACTTTGTGAATAGTACCATTGTCTTGTTTTCTTGGTTTGATTAGGTATTAAAATGTCTCATTTGTTAAGCATAATTATTTTTAAATATGCCACAATTTTTGTGGCTCTATTGTGACATCTTTTCATGTTTTCATAAACTGGAAGCCTTGAAAATGTTGAAGGGGCATGAACATTCTCTGAGGTCAGTGCCAAGTTCCCTCTTCCTTCCCTCTCTGCCCAGCTCCAGCTTGGAGCGTTAAACTTTCAGAAGTTCCGGGTACTCCCTCAGACACCCAGTTTCGGACTGGTGAGCCTGGGCTGTTGGGGGGGCTCAATTCTACCTTTAGGGTCTTCATATCT